TTTATGAAACCTGGGAAGGTCGTTCTTGTTTTGGCTGGACGCTATTCTGGACGCAAAGCTGTTATCGTTAAGGTGAGAAAGCTGGATCTCTTCACCAAGTAGTTTAGTAAAGCCTCCCTGTACTCAACTCTCGATGACCATATCTTCATGGAGTCACCTTGGCAACAGTATGAAAGTGATTTGCCACTGTCTTCCAGAATATTTTTCTATACTCCACTCTATAGCCTTGGTATTTACTGTAGTTTCCCATCTAAATATTAATCATGTCGTATCCTGCTTTGCTTTTTCCAATATTGACTGTGTTGCCAATTTATATTCTAGAAGTTGTGCCCAAAGTAATGGAATGCTCTTAGATAGTTTTATCTTAGATTTTATTTATTTCAATAATAAACCACTATTTCAGAACCACTTTACATCAAGTCAAAGCCACCGTAGGGTAGCATACAAGCAGTATAAAAACTACATAACCATAATAAAGTGACATCAGAAACAGTAACAGTAAAGGTAAAAAATTAAGGGCTTCTAATATCAAAATAGAGAAATCTGTTTTAAACTGATCTTAGAAAGTGATAAATCTTTGATTTCAATTGAGCTATATAAAACTTGATGCAGACTTCATTACTCCACTTATAATTTTGAAAATTGGAGTGATATATGTAGGCACATTTTATGATAACAAATTCTTTAAACCCAAAAAAGTGATTAGTAAATTCTGACTTAAGTAAAGCAAAGACAGACTTTGTTAGTAATTGCACAGTGATCAACTGAAAAAGTATGAAATGATTTTTTTAATTGACTGGGTCCAAATAATTTCCTGTTCAGAACAAACAAAAATAGTATTATTATTTTCCCTTCTGAATAAAGTTACAATCGATGAACCTAACAGTATAATTATTAAACATTGTAGTTGATGCTTTATATGACTTTTTAAAATGAGTTTCTGATTACAGAACATTGATGATGGCACTTCAGACCGCCCATACAGCCATGCCTTGGTGGCAGGTATCGATCGTTACCCACGCAAAGTAACAGCCAGTATGGGCAAGAAGAAGATTGCTAAAAGGTCCAAAATCAAGTCCTTTGTTAAAGTTTATAATTACAACCACTTGATGCCAACCAGGTGAGTTGGAAGGAAAAGAAAATATGGAAGAATTTTATGTAGGAGGAAAAGAAAGCACCATATTTTTTGGAGTATAAGACACACCTTTTTCCCTCAAAAAAGAGGCTGAAAATCTGATGCATCTTATACTTTCATTTTTGCCTCCCGAAGCCCCGCCTCCTTCACCAAAATGGCCGTGCATACCCTTATGGAGACTTTCAGAGAACTGGGAGCTGGGGAGGGCAGAAATGAGCAAAAAACAGCCAGTTTTTTGCCCCCCCTTCCCCCCCAGCAGCACTCTATAAGCCTCCATAAGGCTATGCATGCAATTTTGTTTGACAAAAATAGGCCAATTTTCATGAAAAATAAAAACGGACCCGTTTTTGCGAAAAACGAGCCCTTTTGGGGAGGTTTGCAGAGTTCAAAAACTTTTTCCTTTTGGAAAGCTCTAACTGATTGATGAGAATTACATTGATCAAGTGCTATGCCAGCAGAAACAAAGTCTTAGGTGCTGCAGATTGTCGGTGATTTCCTTCTCCAGCACATGGATAAATACACCTAGCAACATTACCTACCTACCCTGTCTCCCTACCTACTTATTGTATCACTCTCTCTCCCCCCCCCTCTATCTACGTACCTACCTATTCTCTCTCTCCCTATCTACTGTATTTCTCTATTTCTCTCCCTACCTACAGTATTTCTCTCTCTCCCTTTATCTACCTACTTACCTACCTAACTACACTCTCTCTCCCCCTACCTACCTACAGTATTTCTCTCTGTGTGTGTGTCTCTCTCCCTTTACCTACCTACTTACCTACCTAACTACTCTCTCTCTCCCTACTTACGTACTGTATTTCTCTTCCCCTCTATCTGCCTACCTACTTTTTTTTAAAAAAAATTGCCTCTTCAAAATCGTGGTGTGTCTTATACTCCAGTGCGTCTTGTACTCTGAAAAATGATAAAAACTGTATGTGGGGCTATATTTATATTTTTTTAACGAAGATCAATAGTTGATTCAGTCTCCTTTCTTCTGTGGTCTGCTTTCAGCTGTGAACTTGAAATAAAAGCCAGGCAAGGAGGCAAAAGTGCTTCTGAGTTTGTAACTTCCCCACTTCTTGTGTTTTGTTTAGATACTCTGTTGATATTCCCCTGGACAAAACCATTGTCAACAAGGATGTATTTAGAGATCCTGCCCTGAAACGTAAAGCACGGCGAGAGGCTAAAGTGAAATTTGAAGAAAGGTGAATATAGAATGATGTTATGTTTCCAGTTGAATCCAAGCTATAGACCTTAACTGTTAAGGGAGAAAAAAATATATAAGAAAAAGTGGGTACAAAATAATTCCAGTTTTACCAGTGGTGACGACATGACCCTGGAACAGTGCAGCTTTCATAAATACATTGCTAGTTGCCAAGCAACCAAATTTTGATCACATGATTGGGTATGTTGCAATGGTCATAAGTGAAAACTGGTCATAAGTAACTTCTGCTGTTGTAACTTCAAGTGGTCACTAAACAAACAGCTGTAGCCTGTTACCTATACTTTGAGTTGCCCTAATAAAGGAAATGCTTTAAAAAAGAGTTTACCATACATTCCGATGGTTGATATGGCTTATTTTATCATTTCTGTGTTTCTGACAATATCTTGCTTTATATCAATCTTCCATACTGGTGCCCCTCTGAATATGTCAGGTCTACAAGTCCAAAAATTCTCAACCATCATATTTATTATAAACATATTGATTGCCTACCTTGTTTCATACATTAAGTGATTTCTTTGGCTGATGCTTACCAGAGATTTGCAGAACCATTAACAAAATTGTTTTCTTTCTTTCAGATACAAGACAGGCAAAAATAAGTGGTTTTTCCAGAAGCTCAGATTCTGATTTGTTTTCAACTGAACCAATAAATGTTTTTGAAAACCCTATTTCTCTGTAATTGTATTGCATGTTTCCTCCTTCATAGATTAGTTAGAATTGGGCTACTAGAACTGGCCTGCAAAAATCCAGTTGACCAAAGAATGCAATAGTTTGTTTTACAACCTTACTGCCATCTGCTGGTTATCTCGATTTTTGCCCATATCTGCTAGTATTAGACCAGGAATGTTAAACTATTTCATTGAGGTCTGCATCATGGTTGTGTTTGCCATCAGGAGGCTGGGGTGGATGTGGCCAGCTTGACCACAGGGCCACCTATGGCGGTCCGAGCATTCTGCCAGCAAAAATGGCTCTCTTTTTGGATGTGATGGCCTGTGACCCTCTGCCAGCAAAAATGGAGGGCTGCCCATGGCCCTTCTGAGCTCCATTTTTGCTGGCAGAGGCATCACAGGCTAGTCATTTGCTGTTTTCAGGGCTGTCCCACAAGCCACATTCAGCCATGGGCTGAATCCAGCCCTCAGACCTTGAGTTTGACACCTAGACTAATGAAATACCTTGTGAAGAATAGAATACACAAAAAGTCTGATTCCAATGTATTGGGACACATTTAAATTGAGATCTGTCTTCTAATTATGATTAAGGGAATTCTGAAAACCTGTAAACTGATTGTCAGATTGAAGAGACAAAAATAAATCTCCAGTATTTAACAGTATGTTATATGGTATATAACGGAATGGGGAATATATTAATAGGAAATGATAATATGCAGGTGATTATTACTACAGTACATTTACACTATGCTCTTAAGGTTTCAATATTCACTAGTAAAAATTCTGGTTGGAGTAAAAGATACTAAAAGCAAAAATTATTTGAACAGGTTTTTCTTGAGTAGCACCCTGAGTAAGGTAAACTTTAGGTAAGGGCTTTTTATTATTTTCTTTGTGATAGAATTAAAAAAAACATCTTGGCACCTGAAAGCTATGTTTGAATTATATATTAGTCTGAAGTTGGTCTAGTTTACACGTGGGGTGGGGGACAAAACTTGAGGGAAATGGGGAATGAATGCAACACAAGAGGAAGAGTAGATAAGAGGTAAAGTGAAAACTGCAGAGTTTGTAGCTTTAATTTTTCCAACACAAGTTTTTAAAATGAGTCTTGAATTCCTGTCACACTTGAATAACAGTTAATGAATAGGAAAAGGCTATATTGCTTTTTAAAATATACAAGATAAGGATTAGAATTGCGTATTTTCATGGTTTGATTGCTCTTAATGTAAGTCCGAAAGTTGGCTGGGCAGCAAGTAAGTATGGATAACCATTAGTCTGAAATGGCATAGGGCTTCCTGCCTAAGCAGGGGGTTGGACTAAAAGACCTCCAAGGACCCTAGCAACTGTTCTAAGAGATTGGATAAACTTAATAAATAAAGAACAAGAAAGGACTTCTTAGCCCGCTAACCAAACAAGTCGAAGTTCAGCATCCATTTCCTGAAACTTATACGGCTCCGATGTTGGGGCAGAAGTAGGGTTTTCCGGAAGGCGCTTGCATATAAATTGTCCAGCCCGAACTGGGGGTGTGTGTGTCAGATCCTTCCGAAGTAGCATTTTATTTACACTTGAACAAAGCCCCGCTGCGGACCAAAGACACCTTTAGAAAAGTTCTGATAAATACTCGCCGCCTTTCCCGATCAGCTGGGAATCTTGCCGAAAGGCGGAGCTGACGGGGAAGAGTCGAAGGTCCTGGAAATCGAAAGTGGAAGCGAATTTCGAGAAGCGAGCACCACGAATTTCGGAGGTAAATAATTTGGGAGCGCCATGAACCAAGTAGCTATTTTCTTCCCTAAAGTTGCGAAGATCTACAAAAATCACGCCTTTCTTTTAACGTAGAATTGCCTTCCGTGACCGCGACAGTGTTAACCTCTCCTCTAGTCATGACGTTACCTGACAGAAATGGTGTAGGGTCTCCTGCTTGGGCGGGGGTTGGGCTAGATGACCTACAAGGTCTCTTTCAACTATATTAATTTGTTATGATTCCCGAAAAGTGGGTGCTCTCGTTCTTAGGTCAGAAGAGATTGGGAAAGAAAGACACTGTAAGCTGTTTCATCGGGGAGCGCGGGGGGGGGGGGGGCGGCGGCGGCGGCGGCCATCCTTGTGCTGTCTGAGCTTGATTGTCCTAAAGATGCTGTTCAAAAGGCAAGTGGACTTTCATTGTTTTTTTCCTTGAAGACGTTTCGCTTCTAGTTCGCTTCAATTCTTGGATGAGAAGCGAAATGTCTTCAAGGAAAAAAGCACAGAAAGCCCAGTTGCCTTTTGAAAAACACTTTTAGGACAACTATGACCTGGATGACTGAGAATCTCCATAGACATCTTGATCTTGGCTGTTTTCTTGCCGCCCTTTATTATGAGGAAGGAAAGGGGAGAGGTTCACATTTGAGTTGGGACCTCCTCTCTTCTCTTACCCAAGGCAAAGATGAAGTGGGAGAGTATTCCTGGGCAAAAATCTTGCTCATCTGAGGGTTTTGTTTTGTGTTTAAATGCTTATTTTTATCTAGCCTGCAAGACATTAATTATTGGAACCGTTTACTAACTGTTGGGCTCAGAGTTGCCAGTGCTAGGTTTTAAACTCAGATTTAGGTTTTTCACTCCCTGTCTGAATTTCTATATTTTTTAAAAACTGTTAAGAACTGTTTTTAAGATTTTCTAAATCTTACATTACATTGTATGTATTAAATAAGTACAATAATTTAAAATAATTTATTGTATTTTTGGTCATCTGTGGTTTTTGTGTTAAATCTTGGTTTATTGAGCCTGAAATCTCATTTTAGAATTTCCTGTTCCAACTTTGATAAATAGGTAAAAATAATTAATTTTAAAACTGATTTATTGTCAGTGTGTGTGTGTGTGTAGAATCTGGATTTATTTGAGCGCAAAATCTTGAGTTATTTTTTTAGGAAACCCTGCTGGCAACCTTAGTTGTTTTTAGATCTTGGTGAAAGGAACACAGAACAGCCAGAAAACATTTGATAAGTTTACAAAGGTGATAAGTTTTCATACGCTGATCTTTCAGATGAGACAAAAGTGTGATCAGGAGCAATTGAGCACTATCCAACCTCTATCTTTAGCAACTGCTTGAGAAGAGGTCATGCCTCAAAGACCAACAGATAATGTCATTGTGTTTGGGAGTCTTATTTGCCACAGGGGATATTTTTTCATCCTTCTATTCTAAGATATGTTGACTTATCTCCATTCACCCCTGCTGCAGTAGATAGCAATGCCATTGACATCAGTGGTTTCATAACTGCAGATGTTTTGCTCTCTCTGGGTGGAACAAGCTAGCATGAGAAGGAAACAAATAATACAAAAAAATACTAGTTTCTCATCTACCTGAAGAACAAATACTATTTCAAGATGTTGCTAGAGCGGAACTCGAGAGAATCTTTGCCAATACTCAGAGACTGAGGGAGACCAACCTTGTAAGGGATAAGGCAACTAGAAGATGAGGCAATCAGACATACAGATTGAATAGGATGTTCAGACTAAAAATTAGATTAGTTAGATTTCATACACCATTTGTCCCAAACTCTGAATGATCAAAGACAAATAAGAGCTGTTAATTGTGATCTCTTTTGCCATGAGAAATACAATTATTAAATTTGATAGGATAATAACAGACTTACAACCTATAATGCCCCAAGTTGCACACTTGTTAGATAGATTATATTAACTTGGGGACATTTCAGGCATCTCTAGTTGATGATGGTTTTTTTTTTTTTTTGCTTTTTAAAAAAAGCTGACTGTTGTACATACTAACTTCTGCTAAAAGGCTCAAAAAGAGTAGTTCTAGAAAAAATACCATATACAGGCTTAACATTGCTAGATGTTATTAGAATTATACATGGACATCCTGACTTCTCTTGGTCTCTCTTTATCAGATTATACCAAAATGAATGAGACAGTGCCTTGAGAGCTATAAGAAATAATCATTATATTTTAGTTATTTTAGAGATTTATCACAATTCTCTATAGAATTTGGCCTGGATGTGTGAGAGATTGCTCATTATGACAGTAGATAAATCATTGGGCAATTACCAAAGAGTTGTTGGAGACAAAATTAATAAGATCAAAATCATCGACCTGATAACAGCATATACTAACTCTAATAGACTTGAACAGTGAGATGACATTTGAGGAGCACCACCTTTACAGTGAAAGTCCATTGTTGGTAGAAGAATATTGAAGAAATATTCAAACAAATTTGTAAGTATAAGAGTATCTGCTGATCCTGATGAACAATGGGGTGTAGCTATGGCTTGTCCAGCACCATCTCAATATCCAGGATCCAAGACACTGTTTACTATTTTTCACCTGAGATTTTTTGAAAATCATAAAGTGTCCACTAACTAGTTCACTTATTATAAGTGTTCACTGGTTATTGTTGTTGTTTTTAAAAGATAATTGGGGTTGCCAAAAGTTACATTCATATAACATTTAAAATATAACATATGGTTGCTTCATAATTATGGTATCTCATCTGCCAGCAATATAATGGAAAAGAAGATTAGGTACTTACATGGTTAGGTATTTGTGTTAATTTTTACTGGATCTGTTGATAAGGAGAGTTGAAGATTGAGAGATGAGTTAATAGAAAATGGGGTGAAGTATACAATCAAGATATATTTGGTTGTATTCTAAAAGACAGTGATAAGTTGTTAATGTTGAATATATTTGCTATGGTTGATTCTTACTGTTTTCTTATGGGGGGATTTCTTTTTCTTTTTCCACAGCTTTTTTCGTTTTTAAAATGTATTTTTGTATTGGGTTTTTAATATTAGTTTTATCTATTTAGTAAAATTATAAATAAAAGTATTGGGAAAAAATATGTGATTTAGCTTATCCCATTTTTACATGAAACTTATTAAAAGTGAAAAATGAGGAGAAAGGAGGAGGGATATTGATAATCAGAAAGTCTTCCAGTGGTTAAAAAGTGGGGATTTTAGTTTATAAGATCTCTCTATTTCTTATAGTCCCTTGAAGCTGATTAAATTATGCAAAAGTTGCATACAATCACAGAATGACTTGAGATATTCCCCTATGAAATGTACTCCAAATGCCAACCTTCAATTTTTTCTTCCAGGACTATCACCACAATGGATTTAACTACAGCAAGCAGTACTGAAAAATCTCAGAAGTCAGAAAATGAGGGAGAGGGAGGGAGGGAGGGAGAGAGAGAGAGAATGTGTGTGCGTGTGTGCGTGTGTGTGTGTGTGTGTGTGTGCGTGTGCGCGCAGCTTCTGCTTTTTTAGGAAGAGGGCAGTGTTTGTTTATCTTAAAATGATTAATATATTATGGTTTAGCAAAGGCCTATATGTCTATTTGTATTGATATTCCTATCCATCCATCTATCTACTATCTATCTAGCATTCTGTCTGTCTGTCTGTCTGTCTGTTAATCCATCCATCCATCCATCCATCCATCCATCCATCCATCCATCCATCTATCTATCTATCTATTTACCTGGTTCACCGACAAATGTGTGACCAACGAAACCAGGGTGAGAAAACCGCGAGTTCGAAATTGCGCCGACGAATGAGCGTAGAAGCATGCCGACAAAAGCGTGCCTTCAACAAACAATAACAACCTAATAATCCTGACCCTAATCCTAAACCTAAACCTAACCCTGAACCTAACCCTAAACCTAACCCTGAACCTAACCCTTTCCTTAACTTAAATCGTGCTTTTGTGGGCGCACTTTTGTCGGGGCGCTGTTGTGGACGCGTTTATAACATCGCAATTTTCTCGCCGCAGTTTTATCAGCGTGCTTTTGTCATGCGCGCATTTGTCGGGTCACATATCTACCTATCTATCCAATCTATGCTAGGAATACAAATACCACCCCCAGGGGTGAGAATGAATAGTACTGTATCTTAATTGTTCCTAGCATGGTATTCTTCTGGACATAAAGCTCTGATATTTTCCTGGGATCTGTTGGACCCATTGTAGCTGGGATCTGTTGGACCTATTCTAGTCACAGCCTTCCATATGCGCTCTAATTTCCCCTTTAAGCCCTGGTATTTCTCCAGTTTCTTATATTCATTTTTTCCTGAAGTTGTTGTCAATTGGCACTGCTAACCTGTATCACTTGGTAGTGCCAAGTGATTGATTAGTTATAGACATTTAATAAGGTTAAAACTTGGAAGACATTCATATTATGGATCCTGGCTTATATGGAAGTCTGCAAAAGATCTGAAAATGATGATTTGTTTGGGAACAATTGTCATAAAGCAATCATTGATTGTGCTTGAAGAAAAAAATGGTATTATTTGTTTGTTTGGTTGATTGATTGTTTCCTTTATGACCATGAGAGGAAGAAAGGATTTTCACTATAATTTATTCATAGTGGAATTGACTTATGGAACCCTCACACTGTATGTTATTACAAATGAAGACTTTCTCACCATCCTTTAAATTTTCTTAAGTTATTCTTCCACATGAGGGGAATGCTCCCTTCTCAGTTCTATTGCCCATTCCTTTGTGGTCACCTTCATATTTCCTTTGTAGGAAGAAGGCTGTGAAACATCTTTTCGTCCACAGGAGTCCTTCCTCCACTTGTGTAGTGACAGCTTTGTTGCAAGCAGATCTTGGAAGATGACAATGGACCAAATCTTAAAGGAGATTGAGAGATGCCAGGTATTTTATTTGGAGAAGAGGATGATTATCTTTTGTGGTTCAAATGAAATATGTGGGTGTTCAGTCATTCCTTAGAAACCCTCATCTACACTCCTACCTATAGGTCAAGTTTGAGTGCTCGGTAACTTTTGACTTTTACTAAACATGACCCATCATTAATATTCCATCATTGATTCCTATTGTTGAACCAAGAACATACGGTACTATTCTTAATAGATTTTCTTTAGCCTTCCATTTAAATTAACTTTGTCTTAGTTTAAGCATACGAGAAAATGTCTGATTGCCCTTTGGTTGTTTTTTCAACTTCAGGATACATGGAAAAGTTTAGAAGGAGACTGCTTATCCTTGAAGGCAAATACAAGGGCAAGTGAGCAGGACTTGGTCAAGTTCCAAGAAGAATATGAGCTTCTCGGTCAAAAACTTATTGAAGCGGAAAATGAGGCTCAGGCCCAGGAAGCCTCTTTCCAGGTCTGACCATTTTAAATCCAGAATTACATATAACCTTCCTGTAAATTTAGATTTTTAGAATTTAGATTTAGAAACTTTTAATGGAAGAACAGTTTGACTGCATCATTATCTTACTTCTGATTGCCTACAGAAATCTCCAGGAAATGAAGATGAGACCCACTACAATAGCTCTAATGTGCCAAATTTTAAAAATAGACTAGATAGATAGATAGATAGATAGATAGATAGATAGATAGATAGATATTGTTTCAGTTAAGCCTTACATTGTTGCCTATTTTACATACTTTCTTTCTTCTTGCAGCCACTGGATGAATAAATTTGAAGTGGAGACTTCTAAGACCTTGGTCTTCTCATCTATAGAATTTTTCTTAAGAATTTGGACCCAAATTAGAATTTCCCCCTGTTATTACTATTGCACATTGCTAGCTTTGCTTTCAGACACTTCGGTAAAATCTAATAAGATAAACTGTGCATGCCATGCCAATTGGACATCCCAGTTGGAATATATTAGAAGTCACATTTCTAATGTAGAAATGAAACTGTGCAGCCTGTAGCAAGGAAGATGTGTCACCTTCTGTTTAATAGCAGAAAAGCTTGATCAAACTCACATTCCAAATAACTCTGCCAGCCTGTGTTTAATCACCTGTCTATGTTTCATTATGGCTTCCTCAACCCAGTTTTTAAGGGACTCAATAACCCAATAAAGGACAGAATTAAATTTGCAAAATATACTTAACTAAAATATACTTATAGTTCAGAGTATTGAGGCAAAGATTGCCATTGTTTCCAACTTTCTGTTATGTCCAGAATTGTTCCTACCAGATTCTCTAGGTTCAGACTCTTGTCCCAAGATGAAACCCTGGAGTGGGTTTCTACTGTAGTTATCTAGAAGTTGATAGGCTGTAATCTGTTTTCTCAGAAGAAACAGTAGTGCATCTTTGGATTGTCATCCAATGGCAAAGAAATGTCACTTGTTCAGATTTGATGACCTACTATCTTTCCTACAGAAAAAGCTTCAATTGGAAAAGAAGGATTCAAAGCAGCTAATGCAAGAAAAATTGGCATTGGAAAATGAATTGAAACATCTGGAGCAGCTCCATGCAACCCAGGAACAAATTCGTAAGGTATCAGGAGAAATGGTTTTAAAGATTTTTTTTAAATATGGCTCTGTAAAACTATATTATTTTATTTAAATTCCTATAGGTAAGCTTCAGCTCAGACCTATACAAATTATTCAAAACCTCAGTCAGAATTCTTCTTCAGATTTCTTCATTTGGAGAAATTCTCTAAACCACTTATTTTTCTTTTTTTCTTTCCCTATTAAATATTTGTATTTATCTCAGATAAGATGTTACGTATAAAATAAACAGTTACGGTGACAATAAAAAGAAAGACAAAAATTACAGACAAGACAAAAAACTAAGTAATAATAAAAATGTGCACAACATAAATAGAATCAACATTAAATATATATTGACCATCTTCATTGAATGTTGAGAGATGTTGAGAGATATGTCTCAAATAAATTTAAAAATCCCCCCCCCTCTTTGCATGAACTTTCTCATCTATATTTGCTATATTTGCTATATTTGCTATTTTATACTATTGTTTCTTATAAAATATCTCAAATATAGAAATCTAATATCTGTCAATCAAGTTGACCCGATAACCATTCATTGGGGCTTGACATAATGTCAGTCACATTTTTTGCCTTATAAACCAACTCAGGAGGCAAAAGCATTTGGTGTAGGTATGTTTGTGTCTTGAGTCACAATTTGTGTGCTAGCACTCAAGGAACAAGTAAGCCTGTCTCTGTTTAGTGTATATAACTTTGCATTGCCCAGGTGCCAGCTGCTCTTCCTGACAGAGAAATGGTGTTTAAAGGTCATGTGGAAGAGGGAAAGATGGAGAGCTTGCCAGAAATGTTGAGTTTTTTGCCCCAGATCCGATACCCTGTACTTGGGGGATCAGCTCTCATCACCTTTGAGGATCCTGAAGGTAGGAACAGTGACATTCCCATTCTCAGCATGATGTTGTGAATCATAGTGGAAGTAAATAATATGAATTTGTTTGGAGGAGGAGAATCAAAATACTGTAAGAATAACATGATTTATATTGACTTCAAATAAGTAAGTTCAGGCTTACTTTGCCATTGGGGTGTGTGTCTTTATTTAGCTTTAAGTGGTAAAGTTCATTCCTTTAAAATTGAAGAAAAATATTAAGCAGAAGAAATAAAAGGGAAGTATTATATGGATATTAATAGCAGCTTTTTTAACCTGATCTGTATCATTTTAACCGGTGACATTTCTCTATACCATAACAAAAAAATAATAATAAGAAAAGCTCTCCTACTTACGGAATGACGTATTGTAGCCTTTCATTCAAGCAACCTATTTTCTATTCAGAGGAAATGATCTTGCCTAAAATATGGAAACAATCTGTAAGTTTCAGTAAGAACTAGGACTGAGTGCAATAAGAGAATTTGGTAGGGATATTGTGATCGAGGCAGTGACCCCTTTACAGGTTCCTGGGCACCACTGCTTGATCTTGCACAGTGATCCAGATATTTTTCAAAGATTTTAAAAAAAAGAATCAACAAAAGAAAATTCATTTAAAGCAGAGATTCCAATTTCAAGAACTCTCCCTTTTGTATTTTTGGCACTACCATTAGAAGTGGTATTCAGCAGGTTCTGACCAGTTCTGGAGAACCGGTAGCGGAAATTTTGAGTAGTTCGGAGAACCAGTAAATACCACCTCTGACTGGCCCCGCCCCCATCTATTCTCTGCCTCCCGAGTCCCAGCTGATCAGGAGGAAATGGGGATTTTGCAGTAACCTTCCCCTGGAGTGGGGAGGGAATGGAGATTTTACAGTATCCTTTCCCTGCCATGGCCACCAAGCCAAGCCCATCAAGCCATGCCAGACCCACCAAGCCATGCCCACAGAACTGGTAGTAAAAAAAATTGAATCACACCACTGATTACCATCATATATTTTTTTTAGAAATTGATTTTTTTCCACTCCATCATGTATTGAATTCACTGGTAAAGAACCCCAAATTCTGCACTCATTCAAGCAATGAGATGGTCCAAAAATTCTGAATGAGGAAATTAATTAGGGATTGTTGAACTGACACAAGATGCAAATAGAAAAGGTTTAGTTTAAATATGTCTCTTCCATGGCTTTTCCCCATCAGTTGCCAGGAGGATCATCCAAATAGGACAGCATTGCATTCAACTAGATGAATGGAGCTACATGGACGTGAAGGCTGAAGCTATGACATTGTTGCTGCCCTCATTCTTAAAGGTGAATTCTATAGCCTTTGACTGTGGATGAATGTATGCATTGGAGGATCTACTGTAGAAAGGGACTCTAACTGCAATTAATATTATCTTCTCATTGTCTTCTCATCCAATCTACCTAAATCTGTAATTAAATATATCCAATCAGTCTTGTTTATTGTTTCAGTCCCTTAATAGATGAGTTGAAGAGGGAATGTTGGTAGGCACATCTCATCATATGGTGAGATGTAGGAGTTTGAAAAAAAGTGGGCTAGCAATTCAAATTAAAATAAAGCAAAAACATTCCTCCTTGCATTTTTAAGCTGCAAAGTTACATAATTTATCTATCACTTACATAACTTGTTTGAATTTTAATTTTTGGTGGCATATTTTCCATAAATTAATTAAGGAAAAAGTCAATGCACTAAGCATTAAAGCTGTGGTCCAACCACTGAAAAACCATTCTTACCTTTTTTTGCATTTGCTGTTTCACCCAGGGCTGCCCACCTTTCAAGGGATGCAGGGAGTCAAATCAAATGAAACTTTAATCCCCTGAAAATTGAATTGTATGCACCATTCTGCATCATACTTTCTTAAATGATCAGCTATCATTGTTCAAAAATATCATTCTGGAGAACAGAGAAGTTATTCCCCTGTTCACATTCTTCTATACCCAGTTACATTTTTTATTTTTATTATATTCTTAAGCTCTAAAAAGTCCCTATTAATGGCAACACAAAATAACAACAGCAACAAGCACTACGTGCCAGCGAATAGCAAATAGCAGGGAAGCAAAAGCAACAAGACCTAGTGATGGCTAAGAGCAGGAAAGTTGAAGAAAGAGACTGAGGGACTAATTCTGGCTGCACAAGCCTTAAGAACAGATGCATACAAAGCCAGAAATGAGAAGACAACAAAGACAGTAAGCGCCACTTATGCAAAGAAGCTGAAGAAACAGTGGACCACCTGGTAAGTTATTGCAAGAAAATTGCCCAGAATGACTACAAGCAATGACATGACAATGGTGCATTGGAAGATCTGCAAGAAATATCATTTGCTGCAAGCAGGAACTGATGCAACCGTAAAGTAGAGAAAGTCATAGAAAATAAAGAAGCTAAATTGCTTTGGGACTTTAGAATTTAAAAGACAACCTGCCACGTAACACCCCAGACTTATCAATTGTTGATAATAAAGACAAAAAAGTTGAGATTGTGGACATAGCAATACCTGGAGACAGCAGAATAGAAGAGAAAGAACTGGAAAACTTAACAAAATACAAAGACATAGAAATAGAACGACTGTGGCAAAAGCAAGCAAGGATAGTACCAAATAATAATAAGAGCCTTGGGTGCAATCCCAAAACAACTAGAGCACCACTTGAACACCATTCGCATTGACAAATTCATCATCAGTTAATTGCGAAAGGCAGCTTTACTAGGAGAGCTTCCATCCTGTGAAGATATCTGTAACAGCATTAAACATCCACATATGGCTATCCAAGGTCCTTGAAAAGAATTCAATAGGCAGACAAAAATTAAATATCCAGTCTGAAAATCTGGCTGCCTGTACAACAGATGATGATGATGATACAACACAACAAAAAAACAATAACAACAAAGACGATGATTTCGAACACCATCAATTCAGAACTCAATAGTAGACAAAAATGTTAAATCCGGTCTGAACATCTGGTTGACTATGCGACAAGTAATAACAATAACAATTAATAAATAATAATAATAATAATAATAATAATAATAATAATAATAATAATAATAATAATTACCGTTGAGCAACTGTAAAAAAAGAAGTCATGTATTGTCCTGATTGTAATTGGAGTCCTTGGAGCAATACCTAAAGGGCTACCTTGCTATCTGGAAATTCTAAATTTACCTGACTTGAACATTCCGACTCTACAAAAAACCACCCTACTTGGAACAACTTATATCCTCTGACGTTACCTTAACAGTTCCTAGGTCCTTGGTTAGGCTTCGAACTGTTGAGCTCCCAACGAGCCCCAAAGGCTGTGAATTTCACCAAAGATTAACAACAACAACAACAACAACAATAATAATAATAATAATTGCGATATCTATGATTGTGACCTTGTTTTTCTCTCACTGGTTGAGAAAAACAAGGTGACAATCATAGACATCGCAATATCAGGTGATAGCAGGGTCGCTGAGAAGGAAGATGAAAACAATCGCAAAGTACCAGGACTTAAAAATCGAAATTCAACAACTATGGCACAAACCAGCAGTGGTAATTCCAGTGGTAATTGTCACACTGGGTGCTATTCCAAAAGC